CTGCTGTTCTTCCCAACAAAAGCCTTCTCCTTAACACAGCAAATGTATATTGGGCTGTCAGAAGGGCTGATGCTCACAGGGGCTGCAAAGCTTTTTGCTAACAAAGATTAGGTCCCCATTCATAGTGCAAGCCCCAGAGCTCTATGCCCTTAAGTAGGCACCATGCATAGCAAGATCAATGAGATTTTTATCCTGAGTCTCCTGGTGTTTGATGTTCTTCTTAAAGCCCTGGCTCCCGGAGTTGTAGGAGAGTCTTAGCTTTCGAAGTACCCACTCAAAACCTTGGAAATGCAACCCATAAAGACTCAACACCGAGAAGGCAAAAAGAGCCCCCAGGTTCCTAGTTTGTTTTTTAAACCAGCCTTATAATTTTGGGGGCGTCTGACTCATGCTTGGCATTAGCACAGTGCAAGGCTTTCCCCCTTTTCGGAGCAGTTTAATGGCTCCTGCAAATGACCCTCAAGTGGCTTGTTAATTACTGGCGGGTCTCAGCAGGACATACCAGCTGAATATGTAAGCAGCCCTGGTGATCAATGCCGGGAGGAGGGCCTCTGCTGTGAGAACCAGACGCGCTTTGTTTATCCCTGGGCTTGGATGTGGATTGGAGTTAATCAGGCCAAAGCCCATGCTGGCGGCTGGGGGGATGTGGAATCCTCCTGCTGTTGGGGCTCTGCAGCAGGGAGGGGACTCAGGAAGGGCTTCTTGACCTCTGTCCCATCACGAGCCATGCTCAGCCTCTTCTGGGAGCCATCCCAGAATCCTTTGGGCTTGCTCTTTGGGGGCACCATGAGCACTGGCTCTGCGGTGTGGGGGACAGGGGTGCTCTGAGCATGACAAGCAGCAAGGGGACAGGAACCCGTATGGGCTCATCACCATTCCGATGTGGGTGGCATGATTTGCACCCCCAGAGAGGGTGTCTAGCTCTCGGAGGGAATGCATGACAGGGCTGGGCCAGGCCAGACCAGGCCAGTCTCTCGGGGTGTGGTAGAGGGGTCCGTGGGTCCTGTACAGATGGTGAGGGATGCACAAGTCCCATGGGTAGGAAACTTCCCCAGAGTCAGACAGCCATTCAGTAACAGACAGGACACCCTGAGCAAGGAGAAACAGGGCTGGACAGCAGGGATTGCTGGGGATGAGCCAGGTTAGGCTGTGGGGAAGGCCCCGTTGCTCCGGATACTTTCAGCTAGACTGGACAAGGCACTAGCAAGTGGGGAATGCCTTGCCTTGCCTTGCCCTGGGGACCTGTCCTGCTAGGAAATGCAGTCGGGCTTCGCAAATGTGCGCTGGCTGATCCTGTTGGAAACATGACCGTCTCCTGGTCGTGATGTGGCTTCTGTTATCTCTTACTTCCCTGATCCTTAAAATGAGGGGAGTCCCTGGCCCTGGAGCAATGTCACAGGGGCAGGGGGCTGCTGGAGACTTATTGGCAAGGGATAGATGGGCTTGAGGAATGCTGTGCTGTAAAGCTGGCTGCCACCAACAGATGTCTGAGGAAAGAAAAATCATTAGGCAAAGAAAGTAGAGACCCACCCCCACCTCCAGACTCAGGTCAGGACCGGGCTGTGCAGGGAGACAGAAACCTCTCCCTTCCACTCTCTGCAATCAGAATGCTGTGCCCTTCTCTAGCAAACAACTCACAGAAGGTATCATTCTCCATACCTTACCCCGAGAGAAAGGCAGGCTCGGTGCAAGGCAGTGACTCGCCTGAGGACCTGCAACATGCAGTTCAGCCCCTTGTATTATGCATGATGATACAGTCTTTAATTACATCATTGCATGCTATGCTTTCCCTTGGTCCCCAGCCTCAGTCGGTGCACAGGATGGACCTGCTCAGGGAGGGATGTGTCCGGGTTGTGTAGTGAAGTAGTGGTGCCATAGCTGAGAGTCTGGCTGCAGCTCCAGCCCTCCTGGGGAGTGGGGTGGGCTGGGGCTTTCTCTTGTTTCACAAACATCCACCTCCTCATAAACCAAAAGGTCCCAGATGTGAGAGCAAAGGACATGGCTAAAATGTGTAACTGGGGGGAATCTCTTCCTTGTTTTTAAGATGCGGGAGAAAAGAAAGAGAGAGAAAAAATCCATTTAGCTCTTCCCTTCCCTTCCCTTCCCTTCCCTTCCCAGGATGACGGAGTTTCACAAGCTTTGTCCTCCAATGAAAGGCAACCTATGAATCAGCCAGTGAACGTTCTCCGGACTCATTCTCATACCACCGTGTGCATGTTCCCATTCATTGGGCAGCTTGGTTGTCTTTCACAAAACCCATTTAACTACATCATGCCTCCTGTATCAGTGTCCTGCTCAAATGCACACACGTGCTCACATGCACACATTATTTGTTTAATCAAAGGGGCCCAAATGCCACCTCACTATCTTCTGGGGCTTGAGAAGTAGGAAGGAAGCCAGTGAAAACCCCCCACCATCACCACCATTCACTCCCTCTGGAGTCTCAAGCAAACCAATCGCACCCCTAAGCAGGGCTTTTGGGAGCTTGTTGGGAAGTTGATATTTTTCCCATGGAAATTGTATGATGAAAACAAAACATTTTTCTTTATGTCAAAAATTGTCTTTGAAAAATGGAAACTCTTTTTCTGCAGTGTTTGACAACGGAAATTTTGGGTCCTGTGGGTTGTTTTGGTTTGGTTTTTCCCCCCGACATGGCAACCAAAATCATTTTTTCTACAAAAATTTCCATTTTGTTGCAAAAGCTGTTTTCTGTTCCAAAAAAAAGTGTCTTGATGGAAAAATTTTGCCCAGCTCTATGATATTGCAGGCTGCTGATGGATCGAATGATCTCAGCCTGGACACAGTGGCCCTACCCTCAGCTGGCTTGCCTTCCTTGTTCTTTCCCTGGGCTAAGCTGGTTCCCTGTCATAAGTTAGAGCAGTCTGGGGACTGTTCTAGTTCCCAGTGGCTGCCAGTGGCCCGACGGCCAGCAGCTGGGGAGCTAGCAGGGTGGGTGGAACCCTGGTTTGTCTGTTCCCAAGGCAGGATTTCAGAGGAGCTGTCTCTGTGTGGACAATACCTGGCAGCACTCGCTGCTTAGCTTGCGAGTTCATTAGTTTGGGCATGTTTGAGAGCATGAGTGGCTTGCAGAGCCAACCTGCCTCTGTGGTGAGCGCTCAGCCCTGCCACACAAGAGACAATCCACCCTCCCCAGGATCCCACTTGGGGGAAATGAGATCTCCTCATATTCTGCTGTGGGGAGTCAGCCCCTGGCACTTTGTGGCTTGCACAATTGCCAACTTTCACGGGTAAATAAGCACCCCGACTTTCACAATAAGACAAAAAACAAGCTAATCCTATTTCAAAACAAGCCAATCCCTAAAAACCCCAGCACTCTATGTGACTAGATCCCCCTGGCATGCAGTCTGGGACTATGGTGGGCCCGCTGTGCACCCCGGACTCTCTCCCCCCGCTTGCCCCTGCTTGCTACAAGCCAAAAACTAGCCAACAAGCAACTCACAAGCCAATTAAACCAAAAATTAGCTCAATTTCTGTCTGTTTGGTTTTTTTTCATGGGTTTGGCATGTCTGCCATGTTTGATCCTGCATGGTGCTGAGGGCCCACCACTGCTGCTAAGGAATGCTCAGTGTCTTTGCAGCAGCCAGTGTTTGCTCCCTCGCCACCAGGGACAGGATCGGGGCCCTGTGCTCGGTGTTGCTGAGCTGTAAGGGATTCCCTCTGCCACAGTAGCTCCCTCCCCAGGGGGCCTCAATGCACAAAGGAAGTACAGAGAGTGTGTGTGTATGTGGGGTGGGGTGGGGTGGGGGTCCCATGGAGATTAAAGCCAAAGAAGTAATTGCAACGGTGAAAACAAAGCATGATTCTGGAATATGCCAGGCACCATTTTATTTAAATATGTCTGTCTGTTTATTGGTCAATAATACAAGAAAAGACCTTGTATTGTGGATCTAGTTATTTAATCATAGTGTAGTTATCATGGCTTTAACACCGTGAGTTAGATTTTAGAGGTAAAGGGGTACTGAAGAAGCTAGAAGCATGAGCTGAGCTGAGATTTTCAGTCCAGAGGAGTCCGGTACATTTCAGTCCAGACCTCTGCACCTCCATGATACTCACAAGTTTGCTTGCCAGTAGCAACCGTCTTGTTGTTTCTGGTTACGAGTGAGCCCTGCAGGGTTTGAGAGGAAGGATAGTCTTGTGCTTAAGCTGTTGGCTAGGGCTAAGGAGGCCTGGGTTTAAATCCTGAGACTGTTATAGAATCCCCATGTGACCTTGGACAAGCCAGTGAATTGCTCTGTGCCTCAGTTCCCCATCTGTTCAATGAGGATAACAATAGTTCCTTTCTGCCACCCTTGTCTGTTTAGACTGTAAACTCTTCAGGGCAGGGACTGTCTGTGTATGTACAGCACCTCGCACGATGGGGTTCCAATCTGTGTACCCAGTTACCCAGTGTAATACTAATCCTAAAAAGAATGCCATGTGTTCATTGTAATAGAAAATATCTAAATTCCCGAGACTGTCTTAATATTTAATCACACTAATGGTTGAGATTTTCAAAGCAAACACCTGTGCCTCTCCTCTCAGCCAGACTGTAACAGGCCAGAACATTTATCACACCTGGAAGAAAAACAAACAGTATTTGCCATGTTTAACAATAGTGAACAATAACAAAGGAGACCAAGCTAGTTGCATTCTCAATGGCTCTGTCCATTCCAAGGTCAAATGCTGCTCTCTGCCTCCTGGGTGCCTCGGCTGGGAGCAGAATTTGGCTCCTAACCTTTTTGCAAGAGATGCTTCACATCAAATATCCTGCAGACGAGAACATTTTCCCAGTGCAGTGTCTAGAAATACAGACTCCGAAAGGAAACCGTGCCGTCACAGCCCCAGAGGACAACGGCAGAGCAGTTAATGCCTATTGGTTTGGTTTAGACAAATAACACCGCATGTAGATAAGGGGAAGCCCACAGAAAGGAAAGTAACTAGCACGCTCCATTTTTTATTTATTTATTTATTTATTTTGCTGGAAAACAGTTTTTGGGGGGTAGCGATAAAAATCTCTTGGCCTATATGCACGAAATATAGATCTATCTATTTACAACATTCACAGAACATTATGAAGAGCTATTTACACCTGAGTGAGTACCTTTTGCTGGCCAGCATTGGCCCAGTTCAGGCAAAGCTGCAGCAGGGGTTGCTGGGGGAAGGCAACAGCCATGAAATTCCCCTTGCAGAGCTTGCCTTCCCAGATTCTCCCATCGGGGGTGGGGTCTAATGTCAAGGGGGGTGTTGTGCATTTCCCACAGCTCTGCCTTTATCCTCCTCGGTCTTCTTCCCAGCCTTCTCTAGTGAGGGCTGCCTGGAGAGGCCAGGTCGGAATCCCAAGAGGACAGCTCCACCAGGGCAGCTTGATCCCTGTCATGCATTAATCTGTGGGTGGGTGATGACCTGAGCCTTTGTCTTTATAAGCACTTAGACTTCAGATCCTTGTGGATTGGTTCCTGGCTGCACAGGGCTTATTCCCTGCCACCCCCAGGGCAGGACGAGCCTCGAGTCTCATGTTGGTAGCCTGCCTGTGCTCATCACTGAGCCGCAGGATCTCTGTCACCCAGAGGAGAACAGCTTGCTTTAGTTGCAGCCACATTCCTCAATGATCATGTCTTCATGGTGGCGGAGGACGACTTCCCCTTTCTCATAGTACAGCATGGAGAGGGGGCTCATCTTGACCGGAGCACAGGCTGGACAGGGGACCCGGTTGGGCTGGTACAGCTTAAGCAAACTCTGTTGGGAAAGGGGAAGGCGTTAGTCATCTGGCTTGTACCAATGCAGCCTGTGGCCAAGGTTGGCCAACAAGTCTAGTGACTGTGGGTGCCGCACCTGAGATGCCTTACAGAGGCCTGATTCTCAGAAAGTGCTGAGCACCCACCCTCTGGGAACCCGGCCCTGGCAAGTCCGCTCCAGCTGTGCACCCAAAATCACTAGTCCCTTTGGAAAATCACCAGCCAGGATTTGGGCCAGATTTTGCTCCCACAAAAAGTGCTGCTGTTATCTGTATCCTGGTAGCACACACTAGCCCCGGCCATGACCCAGGACCCCATTGTGCAAGGCACTGTACAAACAGAACAAGAGCTGCCCCTTGCCCCCAAGTAGTCCTTGCTCTGTGAGTAGCCCTGCTGAAATCAGTGAGGTTGCTCCTAGAGCACAGTACCCACTCAACAGCAGTATAGGTTCCCCTTATATAGCCTGGATGTACCAATGTTCCCAGGATAGGACCTGCTGCAGGTAAAGGAGCCAACCCTTGCACAGAACCCCATTGGCTCCGGCTGGCTGCAGGGCCTGACTGAGATTCCTGTGGCATGGAGGAGCTGCTTTCAGCTAGCGGATAGCGGCTGCTTGAGAACCTCCCCGCCACCCCAGTCTTAATTCACCCCAGTGTGTTTGGGTGGCAGAAGCCCTGTGCTCTGAGACATTTTAAAACTAGACTAGACTATACACTAAAAAGCACAGTGGCCAATCCTGCAATGGCTTTAGGATGGGAAAGGGGACATGGACTGTAGACTTAATGGGTCCTTCCCGTTTCGAATGTCTCTGGTTCTAGGATGCTGTAGTTGGCTTAGCATTTTACATGAGATGAAACTTGGGAAACTGCCCACTATTCTTTGTGTTTCACTATAATCTCCATGCTCAGCAGACTACAGCCTGCACAGAGCCAGGGGACCGCTCATCCCATAGTGCTGGGGGGCAGTTTAGGGAACCTCTGCTCTAGCAGAGAGGAAGAGGCCTCACTTACCTGGATATATGCATGGTTAGTTGGTTTGAAGGTCTCATCCACGGGCGCTGGGCACTCTCCCGCACACCGATAGGCGTTGTACTTCTTGGGGTAGACAATCCAGCTTCCCCAGCCAGTCTGCTCAAAGTTCACGATCATATCCACCCTCTTGCACAGAGACCTGCCTTCCTCCCCCAGGCCCGGGGTGGAGAGGTCTGCCATTTTAATCCTTCGCTTCTCCTGCTTGTTCCGGCGGTGCCGGCGGTTCCCCAGCTCTTTGGAGGCGTTGTCAATCATGACATGCTTGGAGGCCTCCGCAGTTCTGATGAGGGTGGATGCCCAGGAGGGCTCTGCTGAAGGTTTATCTTTGGAGAAGACGACCAGCAGGACCTTGTCCGTCACACCATGGGACACGGCTGGCTCCGCCTGGCTGGAGCCACTGGAATTCTGCACACCTGTCAAGTCAGTGACATTGCTGTCTGACCCAGTCCGCTCCTGCCCCTGGGAGCCCTGAGCATCTGCATGCTTCCCGTTGCCGGAGGCCACCCCTTGGTGGAGCCAGGCCTGGAGCAAGCTGGTGACGTTGAACACTCTCCAGGAGGAGTGGCTGACCGCAGGACTGCTGGTGAAGGTGCCCAGGAAGAGCCTGTCCACGCAGGTCTGGTTGCCCTGGCGCTTGTGCTCGTGGCTGTGGTAGATGTCCACCGTCACGTTGTGGGCCTGGGGGAAGGACTGCAGGCGGACCCGCAGTTCGGCTAGCCTCACCTCATGGCTGCTGGAGATGGAGGTCAGGTCGAAAGAGAGAGTCCAGTGATCCCCAGCCTGGAGAGAACCTGCGAGAGACCAACACAGTGCCAGAGATGAGGGACCTGTCCAGCACAAAGCATTCACCCCACAGCCCCTTCTGGGGACTGTAAAGAATCCAGGGGTTGCCCACGGGGCACTGGTACCGCAGTGAGGGGTGGGCAGAGCTGCAATGCCCCCAGGAGAGCACTGGGGGGGGGGTGGCACAATGCCTCTTGGAGCTTCTGGGGGTGCAGCTGCTGTGTGCCTGCTAACACCCTCACCCCCCCATGACCATGAAGGCCAGGCCTGCTGGTTGGTGCATGGTGGAGCAGGGCAATGGGCCAGGCCTGGGGGAGCAGTCCTCTCGCTTTCACAATGGTCCCTTTCCCCTGGGTGTGGGATGCTCTGCCCCGTTCCAATGGATCTCCCCCAGCCTGGACCCAGATTACCCCCCTACTCCCCACATGGGGAGTCGTATCTTGTTTCTTGGTTTAATTCGCTGGGTTCTGCCTAGGGTGCACAGCAGGTAGGGGCCAAGGGGGCAAGGCGCCTTCTCTACCTTCTTTACATGGGTCCCATAAGGGCCAGGGAGAACTGCCGCTCTGTGCACTGCTCCCTACACCCCGGCCCCAGCTCCATCCTTCGCCCCGGGGCATCAGCCGCCTTGCCCGGCCTTCACGCAGGAGAGCATGTTGCCCCTCACCAGGGGAGGTAGGAATAGACCCACAGCATCTGCACCCCCCTGGGGCTCCTGGGCACATCTGCCTCCCCCAAGTATTCTGCCTCCCAGTGCTGGCCCTGGGGCACTGCAGTACCACCCTGTCCTGGCCTCACTGGGCCTTGGTGGCCCTGGCCAGGCCTTTTCTATAGTATGTATTTAGGTGTCCTGTTCTCTAAAGGCACAAAGCCATCCCTCCCTGGGCCGAATGAGCTATGTAGTGATGCAGCAGCTTCCCCAGAGCCAGGAAGTATGGCAGGAGTGAACCTCAAACTTCACCCTGCTTTCCCCCACCAACGCCAGCCCCCCCGGAGCAGCTGAGGCTTTAATGCACCCCAATACTGCAGTCTAGTACTAAATGGTGGTCACACCCCCAACAAGAGGGGCAGGTCTAATCCTATGCCCTCTGCTCCACAGGAGGTCAAACTGCGACTCCTCCCCATATCCACCAGCTGCTTCTCCCAGTATCTCTTCCACCTTACCCGGACTGAGCTGCAGCCAGCTTGCCCTGACCATGCCCCAGTCTTACCAAGCACTGATTAACACAGTCCTGCCGTTAATGAGGGCTGGGGGGGTTCAAGGAACCTCTAAGGGAATGCGTGATCAAAATCTCATTAAAATTCAATGGGATTCTGGCTTCTAATTCACTTAGACGCCTTTGAAAATCCCAGCCGAAGTAGTTTCCTTTTGTTGGGTTGTTTGAAAATGTAAAGCACCATGGCATCCACCAGTCAGCCAGACTAGGCTTTGATATCCCATCCATTCCCATAGGATCAGAGTCCTGCGTAAATACCTACTTCTCACCTAGTGCTTTTCATCAGTTGTTCTCAAAGCCCTTTGCAAAGGGGATGGGAAAACCGAGGCACAGAGTGGTAAAGTGACTTCCCCAAGGTCACTCAGCAGCAGTGGCAGAGCTGAGTCCTTACCCAGGGGTCTAGCTCCTAACCCACACTGCCTCCTGATAGAATTGTTCATTAATGCTGTTCATGCTGTTGGGTAAAATTGGCAAATTTTACCCAAGTGACTTAGGGTAGGTGCTTTTGAAAATGCTCCCTGTTGTCAGTTATTTACAGCATTAATTAAATAAAGTCCTGCGACTTAGAGTGGAGAAAACAGGAATTATGCTGATGGGAAGAAGCCCCACCCTTATTCCAAAGCACTAGAATAAGATTTACCAGGGTGTCTGTTTCCTTCCTTCTAGGGACTTTGCTAGGCGGTTGGTTATTTCAAACTTTCCTGTATCTGGCCGTGCTTGCTTCTGCAGCTATTTTAATGTTTGCTTGCCATTATACAGTCGTTTTTCAGAATCAGAGGCCACTGCTGCAGTCGGCAGGCCGAGGGCTCCCATGAATGGAGTTAGAAATGCAATGCCCTAAGGCTTTGAAAACTGCCTGGTGAATTAGACAGTCTGCTCCCTTCGCCGTCCCAAGGGGCTGTTCTCCTTGCTGTATCCATGTTCTCCTTTGCATCCAACAAGCAGTTCATTAAAATCGCTGCACTGTGCCCCTAAATACTGCAATAGCACCCAGATTCTACAGCCTGAGACAGGACACCGGCGTGTTTAAGGGCACTAGCCAATCTCCCTGATCCCATGCTGGCCTGTGGCAGGCTGAGGAAGGGACCTACTCCTCTGTACAAAGATTTGCCTTTCCAAATAACCTGCCAGCCAAAGCTTGGATCCCAAGGGTAACACCTTAGCTTTTTTCAACCACTGGCAGGGGAAGCTAGGGCAAGCGTCCTCCCACTGCAGAGTTCAGGATCCAGGCTCAGGCTGACCCCTTCAGAGCAAGACATCCCCGCCCCACCCCCACTTCCCCCCTCCACATTTCTCTCCCCACATGCCACCCGTTAACAAAACAGCAACTGGCTATTGCCCAAGCTTGTTCCTGCCAGATGTCAAAACAGTACAGATGTGGATTGGGTCCCCATGGGGTCCCTTCTTCACAGACGTCTGGGGTCCCAATCCACAAAAGCAATGGCAAGAGAAGCACTGGAATAGCCAAGGCCCAACAGGGGAGAGTCTGATAAGCAGCAATCAGTCAATGAGGTCCTGACGAACCTGAGGGCTCAACCCCCATCACAGCATTGCTGCTGCTGAGCCAGGTCCTAGGGCAAGCTAGAAACACAGGGAAGGAAGGAAGGAAGAAAGAAAGAAAAAGAATAAATGAACATCACCTACTTCTAGCTACGAGGCTTAAGACTGAGTCAGATTCCTGCAGTGCTGATGCCTCCATGGTGGGCTGTCCCAGGTGTTTCCCAATCACGAGGGATCTATACAGCTGCATCATGTACAAGGGGTACCGGAGAGCAGGGTGTGGGTGCCGGAAGCCACGGACTGTAGACAAACTCTTTAGCCCTGGGCTAGATCCTGCTGTATGTAACTGCTGCTCATCCTTCTGCTGTGAGAGACCGGTCGACTCTGACATGCCCAGCTGCATGAGGATGAGAGCCCAACACACCAGCTCCAAGCCGCAAGTGTTCCTGGGTGGCATAGCTGCTGCTGCTTCTCTCCAAACTAAGCTTCTTACGCTTCCCTCTGGCTCCTTTCAACACCCGGAGCTGTCTGGCTCTCTGAGTCTTTCCTCTTCACTGCTGCCTATTGACACTATATACCTGAGGCTCCCTGAGCAGGCTCTAGCCTGCAATCCTTTGATGTCAACACTCCCTCCATCCTGAGTCCAGAGCTGTCAAACCTTCTACAGTCTCCACATGGTCCCTATTCTTATGCAACCCCTCCCTCTAATGAGGAAGTGATGGGAAGACACACAGAGCAGGTGATTAATTACCTCTCAAAACTCTTCTCCATTATGCATTGGCCCAAACTGGAATGTGGCCTGAGTGATCATTTCCCAAGGGCCTGAGAATGGTCAGATACTGAAATTCCCCTTCATCCTGGTGTATTTGCTGGTGGCTTCTGCTTTTATACTTTGCCCAGAGTGGGGGAATCTGGATTTGGGTGGCAATGTCTCTGGTTGTTAGATGCTCATGATTTCAGTCTGGGTGATTGCCCTGTGACACTTGTGAAAAGGGGGCTGTGGAGGTGAAGGGTGAATTGTTTTATCTGGGACACTTTGCAGTGCAATAAGTGCAAAATCGAGTTATTCGGAGCATGGAAACAGGCTGGCTGATTTTAACAGCAGCAAATTGGAAGTGAAGTGTCATGAGAGACAATATTAAGCTCAATCTTTGTATGATCAGGAAAGCACTGAGATTGCAGTACCAGAAGAACAAAGAGGAGAGATTTCAGAGTAGCAGCCACGTTAGTCTCAATGCTCAAATAAATTTGTTAGTCTCTAAGGTGCCACAAGTACTCCTTTTCTTTTTTCAAAGAGGAGAGAGAAGACCATGGAATTTCACTCCCTGTTTTTGCTTGTTTCTTTAGTTTTGTAAAGAACCTACAAGCTCCTTTTTACTGCAAGTCCCATTAGAAAATCAAATTTTCTCTGTATGCCCATTCTGGAGTGAAGTTAGATAATAACTGAATTTTACTAACCAATAACAGGAAGCAAAATGCTTTTTTTTAAAACATCCCATTTCAAAGCAGAATTTCATCTCTTCTTCAACCGATCAGAGAAACTCACATCAGTAACATGCCCTGAGATCAAAGGTTGGTCGTGTGTTCAGTCTGGTTTACGTTGTGCCGTACCATTTTATAAATCAGAAGAGTCCTCCTGGGTAACGCTCTTTACAGCAGCATTGTCATATTGCCGAGCATTTCCCTGGTACCCATCGCGGTGCTGGGAGAGTGCTGTGCCGCTGGGAGTGCTCCTGTCGCAGGAGGCATCCGATGTGGCCACTTGAAACCTGTTCATTTTTATGGCATCTTTCATAAAGAGTAAGGGCGCTGATCGAGTCCTGGCCAAATTCCAATTAGGATAATTATATTCTGGCTCCCTAAATTCCACCCCCAGCATTTTCAGTCAGATAGAATATTCTCCTCCTAACAATAGGGTTATTTTCGGGTAAAATGCTACTCCGCATGAGAAGGGGGATCAGAACCTGGCCTGGGGAGAGTCAGGACATACCAGGTGTTTGTGGGAAAAGTCAGGAATTGAACAGCGATCTCCCAAGTTCTAGTCTACTGCCTTATATCCAAAACTAAATCAGGCTCCTACATCTTTATATCCTGTCTATCTACTGTGCAATTTTTATTTATTATACGTGCCATCTGAAGCAGGTATATTGGAGGACAATAATGAGTGTAATTTAGGTCCCCAACCTTGATGGAATAATAGATATGTAAGGTCTGTAGGGAACTGTCTGGCTCCATGTGATTCAATGGATCTTTCAGCTAACACGGAGTTCCAAAGGTGAGCTCTGGCGTACAGAGATCTCTTGTGGATTTGCCACTCCCTGAAGGATTTTGGGCCCATAAGCCAGCAATCCTGTACCCATTTAAGGACCCAGTGGTTTCCTGTGTGGAAGCTTATGGAGGAAATTTGAGTGCAGGATCTGGTCTTGTCATTTTTTCCCACATCTGTGATGGGAATAAACTGGATAATAATCTATGGAATAAAAACATTTTTTTGCTTAATCCAGTTGTACATTGACGCAAGCCGCTGCTGTAGGTGAGGCATGTTCTTTGCCTTGCAGCTCTCCAGCTGGAGGGGCCATGAGGGAAAGTTTCGATTCCTGCTCCACCACAGACTCCCTGTGTGACCTTGGGAAGTCACTGAGTCTGTCTTGCCCCAGCTCTATCCATACGATGGGGACAAGACCACATCTTTCCTGACAGAGGTGTGGTGAGGATAAATGCACTACTCGGTGAGGTGGGTCACACCGAACATACATAAATGGAGACCGCCCATCCTTAATAGGAGAAGAAGCGTATGTCCTGGGTCACCACCAAGCTTGCCCCCGAAACCAACGTCTGCCACTGCTCTAACCAAATCTATGCCCTTGGAAACCCACCTCTCCCCGAAGAAACAGACCAGTGTCTTGGCCTCCTTCTCCTCATTTAATAACCCTCAAGGACTCTCCAGCCAGCTACCATAATGAGATCTGCAGCAGCAAGACCAGCCACCAAACGCTAACCCCTCCCGACAGAGGGGAGGAAGCTGGGACTCTAGGAAGAAGGGCACCAGCCTCTCTGGTGCCGTGGAGAACATCTCTGAGCACTCTCTGTTCTCCCAGCCAGCAGCCCTGCCAATACATGAAAGAATCCATCCTTGTTCTGATGCTTCAGATTTCACTTGAATGTCCAATCAACTTCAAAGCAAATCCTTTCATCTTCTCGATTTGAAGGAACGTTCCAGCATTGATCCACAATCTACTCGGGTTTGTTTCCTTTCATAGTTCCTCGGGCCTTGGCAATGTGACGCCACGTGTCTGGAACCTGCATCTGACCTTGTGTCTGCCACGGGCAGCGGAGGAGTCGCAGTTGCCGCTACAAGAGGCAATGATGCCCCACCCATCGGATTGCAAGGTAAGGCAAGACGGCTAGAAGCTCATTGGAGGCTAACCCAAACAACGGGCCAGATTCATCCCTGGCACAATCCCCTTTACTCCCATGGAGTTACACCAGAGGTCAACTTCATCCATTATGCTAAGCTCTGAAAGCTGCTGAATGCAGCTTCAGTGGACCACCCAGGAGAGTGGGTTACAAAGACAGAGGGTCTCCTAATGAGACCTCCCTGCCAGTGGCCCTGGAGAGTTCAGCCCCTGGTACTGGGACCAAGAGCCTCCCAGCTGACCTTACCTGTTGGAATGGGATATAAAGTGAGAGGCATCTGTGGGTTAGTGGGTCCCAGACAGCTTAGTGCAGATTGTCACCAACAGCTTCATGGCACCCACAAATGAACAGGAAGCCAGTACCAAGAGCTGAACACGGGTGCAATAAGACCATAGTGACCTGCCTGCTTAGATCATCTGGGTATATCTAATTTAACCAATTCCCTGCCATTGTAGGCATCACTCCAGTCCCTCCTACTCTCTGCCTGTGGCATACAACAGTTTAGTCTCCTGAGGGCTGTAATATTTTGGTCTAATTCAGGTGGTTGTGCTTGGTGTGCTGTGGCTGGGTGGGGCTTAGTGGCCTGTGGTACACAGGCAGCCAGACGATATGGTCCGGTAAGGCCAAAAGGGACCAAACTTTATGGCTCGGTCAGAAGGCAAATTGCTTCATTGCATTGCATGGCAAAGGCATGGATGTCCACTGTGAGGCCACCATCTCTTGGCCAGCCACAGATGGGGAAAGGTCCTTGTGCCCACGAGCTGTGACGGATCCAACTGGAGTCCACCTTGCTGAAAGGCCGGCAAACATTCCCAGTACTTCCTTTTGCTGCCACTATCATGGCAACCTCCTTTTGCTTTTGCAGCAGCTGGCTTGCTGGCACCCAGGTCTGTCAGCCACACATTTTGGATGCTACAGTCTCCTTCAGCTTTGATGATGACACCTCCTTTTTAGTGTATACGTGCAGTCCAGGCTGTTTCACCATCTCTCCGGTGTCTTCACACACTGCACTCATTGAATAGAAGGGGAGAGGAAACCTATCCCTTTATGAGAGCGCAATTTCCCTGGGCTGCCCTCTGGGGTTTCTCACAGAGGAAGGTGTTGGAATCACTTTCAGAGTAGCAGCCGTGTTAGTCTGTATCCGCAAAAAGAAAAGGAGTACTTTTGGCACCTTAGAGACTATACTCAAATAAACTGGTTAAGCTTTCGTGAGCTACAGCTCACTTCATCGGATGTGTACGCTCTTTGGGCCAGACACTGTGTCTGCATACAGGAAAGAATGTATGTTTGAGGCAGGAATGGCGATAGTTAAACTGACTCGAATGGAATAGAAGTAAATCCATTTTTTTTTCAATGTGCCTTAGGTGTTGTAGAGAAGAATTAGTAATAATTAAAAGGGAAGCTGCTATCTTGATGATCAGATAATGCAGAATAGGCTGGAAAACCTCGGCTCTGAGAAAGTGCTGGAAATCAGTGAGTGCCTGGAAAGCAAGTTCTGTCACTTGTTATGTTTTGCTTTTAGTTTGTTTTATGCAGTGCACAGCTGTCCAACCAACTGTAAGATCAGCCAGGCATAAAGTTTGAAAGAAATGGTAGAACTTGTCTAACACAGATCAGTAGCTCTATTGAAACAGAACTTTTAAAAAAAAAGTTCTATCTCTCTTGCTTATCCCTGAGTGCATATATCCCTCTTGCTTATCCCTGAGTGCATATATACCCAAACATTTAGCTCTGACGTAAGCAGGTACAACTTTGTGGGTTTCAAGGCTGTTCAAGGAGCAGCCTCAAATTCAGCCAGGTCTGAACATTTTCAAAAGCACTTAAGTCCTATTTTCAAAAGTGACATGGGCACTTACGCCCCAATGAAAATCAATAGGAGTTACGAGCCTAAATACCCTTGTGGCTCTGGGCCTTAGGAGCTTACTTTAAATTCAATGGGGGTTAGGCTCCTAAGTCACTTTACATGCTTTTGAAAATGTTACTTTGGGTCTAAAATTGCAAAAGTAAAGTATTTCTGGGGTCCACTGACACTAAGGAGCC